GGGAGGAAAATTGAAAAAATCTTAAGGAAGAATTAATTCTGTAGAGGAAATCAGCAGATGTATGTGATGTGGTTTTTTGTTTTTTTTTTTTTGTGCCTTCTATAGAGGGAGAACCTTGCCAAGAATAAGGGTGACCTTCAAAGGATGGAGAGGAGCTTTATGTTTTGTGTCTAGCCCTTAGATGGTTGTTGTTCTTTTTTTCTGAGCTATGAATATGCCTTATTTTATGTAATGAAAGCTTTTTTTTTTCGAAATGTTTTCTTATGTATTTTTGTTATTTTGCTGTAATGCCCTCATACCTGTTAGTAGATACATCTGAAAATTTCACTTTCTTATTGCAGTGACCTTTTAGTGATTTCATTTAAAAACCTCTTTTCAAAACTAGGAAGATGATGATTCCCTATAAATGGAAGTATGTAAACTCTCCACACCCCCCCCCTTTCTCCTGGCTAAAAGCCAATAGTTCAGCATCTTTTCATATAATGCCTTTATATGTGAAAAGAAAAGGAGCAGAAAACCTTTTTTCCTCTAGTGCTGATCACACGTAAGTGATTTGTTTAAGGCCACATAGCAAATTGTTTGCAAGAGCCGGGTGGTTCTACCAGCTGTATGGTAATGGTTTAGCCTGAACATGCTTGGATATTTGTACCATGTCTAGGAGAACACATTTGGAGGTTCTTTTCTTGGAATGCCTGTTCTGATTGATTACGGGAGGGGAGAGGTCTTTCCTATTCATCTGGTAGACATCTCCTGGCCTCAAAATTCAAGGGCAATCTATTTTCATCTATAAGATTTCTACCTTCTGGAATCATTTTCTATGTTTCAAAGCAAAGGCTTTGAAAGGCACACTTCTTCTGAGTGTGAAGGGAGCACCTCAGTGACCTATGCCTAATACCAGTTTGGTATCCTCACCTGAAACTTGGATTTGTTCTCTTAAAAGACTCCCACTAGGTAGACCACATGGAAAAACTAATCCTCAATAGACAGCAGTAGCTGTCTCGACCATTGCCTTTTACAACCAAGCATGATGGTGTAGAGTTGAGGAGGGGCAGTTCTCTTGCTTGTGCTGGAGCCAGCCTCACTGCTTGACTTTTTTTTTTTATCCAGTAGAGATGCATTTTTAAAACGGTATCAGACAAGCAAGAAGAAAAAGCAACTCAATAGTTATTATTCAGACCAGTGTAGGGATCCACTTCATCAGCGAAGTAGGCAGAGTATGCTGATTATTGCAATAAGATTTGTTGGAGCCAGTGCTGGCATGATTGGCAAACAATGAACTCTTTTCTGTGCTTTCACAGAGGGATTCTTTTGCAAGGGGACCCAGGTATGTCTCAGCCAACAGCCTCATAGCTTGCTGTGGTGGGCAAGTCCTGGTGGAACTATGGGTTGTGCTCTGCTGCTGGAAGCTAGCTAGCAGAACGCTTCAAGGCTACATTACCAAGGCTATGATTTAAACAGTGTATAGATTCCTAACAAAGGATTGGGCTTTAATTAGAATGTACAAATACAGATTAAGCGGTCCTTTTGTTTGAAAATGTTTGCCTTTTTCTTTGAAAATGATGCATTTTTTTTTTTTTTTTAATTAAATCTTATCCAAGTCAAGAAACCATACTCACATTTGGCTGTGAATTTTCCGTCTTTGTTATAATAATATTTGACCTGCCCATGTAATTTGACAGAGTGGATGTAAGGGTTGTGCCTAGTCATCGTGATAACTCATGTGCAGTGACCAAGGTAACAGAAACCAGTTTTTGTGACAATGTAAGGGGTAGAAATCCTATGCAAGAGGAAATACATTTCCATACATCAAATACCATGCAATTTAATGGAGGAAGCAATTATACCTTGCAGTGCTCTGTTTTGTGGGTACCCACATGCTGGCGTTTGCCGGCATATGAACTCAGCGCATTGATCGCTGCCGCTTGAACTCTGGACTTACGTTTCTCATTGGTTGTTTGCTTTAACCACAGGGCTGAATGGTGCCTTTGGAGACTATCACAGTGTAAATAAATACATGTGTGTTTGTTTCTAGCCTGTTTAAAAAAAGAAGAAAAAAAAAAAGTGTGTGTCAAAGAAGGGGGGAAACTGTTAAGCATGCATTTGCGTGCCTTTGAGATGCAGGAAGTACAGGAAGTTAAGGGGGCAGGGGGAGGGCTAGGAAAATCTTTCCTAGGGGTATAACAATAGGAAACACAGTGTGTTTAGGTGCTGTTAGATTAGATTAGTGCAGATTTATTTAGCAAGTGCTGTTCATTTTGATATTAATTGTGTAGAGATACTTACAGCTTGCAAAAAGTCTTATTCTACAAATGAGCATGGTTAGTATTTTCTTTTATTATCTACAGAAAGAGACTACGATTTTTACTTTTTGTTTTTAATTTTGGTGAAGAGGCTGAACAGAAGCTAGAAAATGAAAGGTGGCAGTGAAGCAGGTCAGACATACTAAATTTCTCTGCTGCCGCAATCATACCTAGGCTGGAGTTTTGTTCATCATTTGCATTAGCAATATTTTTCTTTGTGCTTTTGCTGTTGTTACAATTTTAAACGTGATGAAATATGCTGACTTTAGCAACTTTTGTTTCAGCAAAGGAGAGACTGCAAATAGAACAAATGAATTCACAGTTGGCTAGGGCTAATTTTGTGTAGTTACTAGCTTACATCATGGTTTTCTCTGCCAGTTAGCTGCTTGAAAGTAAAATAGGAGGCATGGCATGGCCTGAAACTGAGAGAAAGGTTGGAATTTCAGAGAGAGAGCCTCTTCACACCATTGCCAAATCGCCTTTTGTATACATTGCATTTGCAGGCATAAAATAGGGCACGAATCTGATGGCTGCAAACAATCCATCTCAATGCCTGCACTTTCCCTTCAAAAGTTTTACTTCCTGTAATCTTGAAATTTGCTGTGTGAGAGAAACCTGGTGTAAGATGTGGCTGTGGATCATCACAGAGCCTAACAGAATAGTCCATGATGAAACCTCCCTAATGTACCCATAACTGCTTGCATTGTTCCCCTGGGGGAGGCACGGCCCTGAACAGCTGTGCTGCAAGAACACGGCAGTGCTGTAGTAGTGGGAACCTTTTCCACTGCGCTGGAGCAGGCAGTCCCTGCACCACACTGATGTGTCCCTTCCCATTCTTGCTTCTTGTATAGATCTTTTTTTTTTTTTTTCTTGTTTTCTTCTAGGTTAGCTATTTTCTCCTCTCTGAACACTACAAAGATGCATTATTACATTCTTGCTTACTGCCTCTGTAGATCCAGCTGCTAGTGAGAGCTCCTGCTTTTTTTCTGCATTGTAGTGCAGCTAATGCCACTGTCATCAGCATCATCTGAAGGAAGGTGACAAGCCGCTCTTAGGCTCCAGTCCCTTCGAGCCCTGCTCTCTGCTAGGCACCTCTCTTTAACCTGCTCCTTTAGTGGACAAACAGAAAATGGGCTCCTGCATTTCTCAAAGCAGGTCTTCCCTACTAGAAAGAGGTGTGAATGACCCTTGGTAAATACATTTTTTTTTCTCTCTGTATTATATTATTAACATAGCTTTTTCTCAAGTCCTAAATGGCCTATTTATCCACATTTTGATTGTTCAGTTTTCTGCATATCGATTTCTAAACCAAATCTGAAATATCAAATAGTTATATAAACTATGTGTAGACTGGTACTTTCTGGCTTAAGTTAAACTGTAGGGTGGATTTGTATTTCCTAGCATTTTCCTTGTCCCACTTTGCTGAATCAGTTTCCAATGTCCCTGAAAAAGAACGTCTTGTCTCCCTTCTGGCTTTGCTATTTCCTTTTGTTGGCTGAAATATTTAATAAAAATACTACTGCAAGCGAGAGCCATACACGAAAGTATAAATGGAGTGAATTTCATTGGCTCAACAACTCAGGAAGTCAGATTTGGCAACCTGCATTTTAAAATGTGTTTTCAGATCTTCCTTAATTCTTAGATGTATACAACTGTCAAGATGTTTTTTTTTTTTTTTCCCCCTTCATTTGATTTAACAACTTTTAATGCTAGGCAAGCTGAAGGAAAATCCTTCTCTTGTTATTTCTTTACTTTCTTACTGGTTGTCATGATGTCATTGTGTTTGGTCTTTGGTCACCCTCTGCATTTTGTGGTAAAAACATTGTAAGGTAAGAAACCAGTGAACGCCCTCTCCCTGGACTGCTTTTCAAGAGCAGAAAAAGAAAACTCACATCAACACTGTGCACACTGACTTGCTTTAAATATTGAAGAGGGAAAAATGAGACCAATGCTCTCTTTGCATTTCTGCATCCATGTTTAGGCATGCACTGAGGGGCCTGCTGGTCCACTGGGGCTGCAGTCAACGGCATCAAGCTGCTGCTCCTCTCCTGAGCTTGCTGTACTTCTGGGTCATTTGGGAGGGACAGTCTTGAAACTGTAGCATGGTCAGGTCTGTGCATCGTGTACTGGTCCTACTCTGCTAAAGAACTCACCCATATTGGCTGGATGGGGAGTGTGAGGACCACAGGAAGTGACTGTGTCAGTGTTTGGTTTCTCTGGGCTCATTGGAGAGATGTCAGCGTAAGCTGTGTGTAAGAGGACAGGGCAAGTGTGGTGGAAACCACAACAGAGGATTCCTCTCCTCTGTCTCAGTGTGAGGCACCTCTACCAGGGCTTTGTGGTGTTGCCACTATGTGTGTGGGGTTCAACTCTATGAAGAAAAACTCTTTCAGATATTGCAGATCATCCTCCTTTTGTAAAACCTCCCCCACCTCCCAGCCTCCTCAGCATCACACTTGAGACTAAGTATAACAAATCTTGTCCTTATTTCTTACCTTGTTGCACCCATATCCCACACCATGGAGGCAGTGGCACTCCTTCTTTACCATTTGCCTTTAGTCAAGATATAGCCACAGTTTTGTACTCTCCTCATTCATACCATTACTTGAAGCTGACATCTTTCTTTATTGTGTATTTGACAATGTGTGAAATGCATGCATTAGAAACTCAACTGTAACCACCTGCTGTTTTCTTCCATAGTTATGTGTATGCAACCCTATTGTAAGTGTTGGTATCTCTACTTTGGGAGCTAAAGAGACCACCCTTTTTGAGCTGGCCATCTCTTACTTCAGCATGAAAAACAGCCGTCTTGAGGTAGGATCCTTGTCCTCTCATCTTTTTACTGCATCAAGAATTCATACTGTAGCTACAATAATGTGGACTTCCCAGCATTATTGGGCCATACAGAGAGAGGTACTGAAATTTATCCTAGCTCCAGTTCTGGAAAGGCTTAATTTCATAGAGCTAGCAGCTGTAGCTATTTTTGAGAATGTTTGAAGTCTGCGCATACCTGGATAAACTTTAGAGGACCTTTTTTAGCCCTTCTTTTAGCTCTGCGTTTCAATGGTTATGCTGGTGACCTTTTTCATTATGAGAATTCATGTTAATTCATGGCAAGCCAGAACATTATTATAAACTTCTCAACTGTTTCATTTTTTAGGGCTTTGAAATGTAATCAGAGGTGGATTTATCTGATACTAAGAGATGAAACAGTTACCAATCTTAGGTTTCCTCCCTTTTATTTTTCTAGGAGGTTACTGCCAGAGTAAACTGAAATTGGAGGTGGTTTATGTTAATGCTGCAGCCTGCAGACTGCACTTGCTTGGGAGTTTATCCAGCGGGATCAGCTGATCCCACTGCAGGATGGTGACCTCTGGCAGAGGCACAGGACAGAGACAGCTGCTTCAGCTCTCCCAGCTAACCCTGCTTAAGGCAGTGAGTGGGAGTTGTTAATACCACAATTTGTTTAATTGTTGGGCTAATAGAATGTTGGTGTGCTTTATTACAATACAGTGCATGAAGTGGAAACAGAGGTAAGGTTGAGAGTTCCACTTGGGAGCTGGTTCCTAATTATTCTTTTTCTTACTAATAAGAGCTTAAGGTGAAAAATAACCATAAGCATATTCAGTTTTCAAACTTTGCAGCTGTATAAAAAGGCAGCCCACCCTGGGATGTTTGGAGCCACAGAGATGCGCAGTACTTTTAGGAATACAGGGCAAATGTGAGTTTTTAATTAGCTTGGTCTGCTGATTTTTCTCCAAATATAGATAAGCACTTCTCAGCTTTAGTACTTGAGAACAGGAAGCCAAGCGTGCTCTAGGAACTGTTTGCTGGGAAGTCTGGTAGAAAAGGGGAATCCAGAAATGATTTTTTCTTTAATAAAGAGAGGATAACGTTTTTAATGTTAGATTAATGAAAATGGTGCCCCTTTCTTTCTCCCCCAGAATTCACTTTATAAACAGAACAGAAATAAACTGTATTGCTGCTTCAGAAACTAACATGGATTGCACTGGTGGTGTGTGCTGGTTTGTGCAGTGCTGCATCCTTGTTTCAGTGCTTGCAAGCCATGAAACTCATAGGAGCAGACGCATGTGCTGAGGGGAGCTTCCTTCTGTGCTGAGGCCTAGGCAAATCTGCAAGTAATGGTCCTCTCCGTAGAGAAGCTGAGGGCACTTGGTGCTGTAAAAGTACCTTGCCCATACTGGAGATGGTGACAGAATTGGCAGTGAGGAGGTGACTAGTCATTCTGTGAGCCCTGGTCTGGGGCCAGTTTTCATTTTCGTCTTGTTCTCTTTCTGTTTTTCTTTCTCTCTCACTTTTGTTATTTATACCAATGAGCAAATGTTGCTTATTTTTAGCAGCCTTTGCATTCTGCTCAGGCACTGATCCTCAGTAATGGAATGCCTGTGGCTCTCCCCAGGGCACAATCCCATGTCTAATAAGAGCAGATACGCAAGCTTTCGTGTAGAGAGTTATTGATTTGTTTCCAGGCACGTAGGTGTGTGTGATACATGTAAAAGGTGCCCATGCATACTGTATATTAGCACACTAACATCTTTGCAAATAGCTTGAATGATCTGCCTTGGGCTGTTGATGAGAAATTATTTCTTTATGTTGTATATTTCCATAAAGCAGGCAGACTTGCAACTTGCTTATTTTAGTGTGTATAAAACCAATAATAAAAAACCAAACACACCCATGTACACACACCCATATCCACAAAAAGTGCAAAAGCGAACTTTCTTTAGGGCAGATAGTTTCAGTTTGAGGAGGAGCAAAAGAGGTGGACCAATTAATTGCAACAGATTGAAGAGTTACTTAAGGATATGTAATGCAAGGCCCCCCTCCTTTCCTCTTCCAGAGCTCGCATTGCAATGTTGCTAGCACAGAGGGATATAGCCTTGAAAAAAGCGCTGAAGAAGGACTTCCTCTGAGGTCTGGGTGGCCTGGGAACCCTTCCTTCACAGATTAGCAGCTGACTGGCAGTATCTTCCAACTTCCACTGAATGGGCCAGCAGCTTATTTCTACTTTCCTACTTTGGGAGACAAGTGTATGACATTAGTCACTGCGTCTTTTGTGAACTTAAAATGTGTGGGTATGTTCAACTTGAGACAACACATATTATCCTTGTCCTTTCCCAAAGTTTATCCAGAAGTACATCAGCACTAGGCAGGAGTGGTTATATATTTGAACTGCAAGGAAGGAGGTGCAGACAATTATTTCTTGCCTGTCCATGCTAGTCCTTCATCCCCTTGAGGTAAGAGGAATTTGCTGGAAGAACAAGTGCCCCAAATCACTGCTGCCCACTTTGCAGCAGCAGAGCTCTGCTGCTGACGCTAATGCTTTTATTGCTATAGAGGATGTTACTGATGTGTGTTCTGGCTGGAGCCTGTTGCAGTTCTGGCTGGAAAGAAGCCAAGAGAAGAGGTTGTCCCATGCCCTCAGCATCACTGGGATCCTACCCAGCCTGCAGGCATGGCTGCACAAGTGCTTGGATCTCTCAGCAGGGCTAATTTGAGAACTTCATATAGGGTTAGGGGCCTACTTCATGCATGTTGGCAGAGGAAACTAATTTACTGCATAGAGGAAGATGAGTCTGGGGGAAGCGTTACTCAGGTGCAGCCACATCAGTTGGATGGCTCAGTGCTTAAATTGCTAATGCTATGCCTACACAATTGCTCTCACTTTTGCCAATGCAAAGGAATTACCATTGATTGCAGCTGACACATAATGGAGACAGTGGGGCTAAAGCAAAGCTTGTTTAGAGAACAAAGATATGCTGCCTTTGAGAGTGAACTAAATACCTCTTCTTCCTTAGATCTTTGTGATCCCTCCACCTTTTGCCTTGCTCCAGTTACTGCTGGTTTTAACCTTGTTTTGGTGGATCTCTGGGGTGAAGCAATCTGCTGTTTGCCAAGAACCTGTCTTGTTGCTGTCATTTGGAATCCAGCTCTTGTTAATTATCCTGAACCCGGTGGAAGGGGGAAGATATTTGTTCTGATGTTTCTTTATTATTAATTTTTTTTTAAGTTCAGCTATATTTGTATAGTGAGATCTACGTGCCACTATGCCCCCAAATTACTAAAATTGCAGTGCTGTTGTCTAACGTTTATTTTAAAATAAATCTTATAACTGACATTCAGATTAACTACCATCTTAGTCTGAAATGCAGCAAGATGTTTAACATGTGTAGGATATGATACCCATCTCAAATAAATGCAACACCACATCAGGAGATGTTTTCATATTTTCAGGTAAGCAGGCTGGTGTGGGGAAAAAGGTTAGTCTATTAACACCTCTGCTCAAAGTGAGCCAACTTCCTTTCTACATGGAATAATTATTTTCTCACATAAGCCCTGTAGTGCCTCTGCTGTGTTTGCACTTGTAAGTCTCAAACATTGCAGTACAGATCGCCCTTTATGAGCCGAGTCTGAGGTCATGTGTCTGCATTTCAAATTCACTTTGCGTGGGCTATCATGTAATGGCTTGTGGATTCTGTAGGTGTAGGGCTACAGGAGCCATATTTCAGGTGTGAAGAAAGCAGAACGCTTTTGAGTATTTAAAGCACCCGTGTGCGCAACTCAGGGCTACGAGAACCTTTGGCAAAGCTTTATGAATTCTGTTGATTCATAGCTGGCATCTCACCATCTGTAAGGGAAGGGTTACTTACAAATAAGTATGTCATGTACATAACAGAACCATTTAGAACATCACTGGAGTGTAAGGGTAAGTGAGCTTGGGCACAGAAGTCATTATGCATCTGTGGAAGACTTGCTGGGAGGAATATTGAAAGGCTTTTTGTCTGCCATAGCCCAGGGTTCACAAGTGCTTTTAGGTGTCTGGCAGTCCATGCTTCTGTTTATTCTATTCCAGTGAGGATTATGGTGCTTTGCCCAAAGGCAGTTCAGAAATAGGTGATGGTGGGAGAAGTGGTTGTACCCAGTGTGCCAAAGAAATATCAGAGATAGGAAGACTTCTATCCTGGACTGTGAATTCTGGGGCTCTCACAGATAAGAAGTTACAGCCGGAGTTGGAGAGGGTGTAACAATACACAAATCTTTGGTCTAATCACCATCTAAAGTTTTGGCCAGGGCTGGATTAAAGAAGATGGAAAAAAAAAAAGCTAATGAATGCTGAGCAGAGCTGGTCTGCAGCTGTCCTCAGCAGCTCTCTTGAAGGAGGTCTTTTTTTCACTACATGCGTAATTGCTGCATGTCAATGTTTCGAGCAGCTGTGCATTGGCTGCTCCTATGCACTCATCTCTGAAACTATCTCCTAAAACTCTTTGCAGCACCTGGAAAAATATTATCCTTTAAGGTGACATTAGCATTTAGGTTCCAATCACAATTTTGTGCTAGGCATGCTGTAGTTGAAATAGTATAGGCTGCCTATGCCCTTGAATGTGTATTTTCTATCTACAGACACTACTGATGTTGGAAGAGGAAATGGGTAAATGTAATCCTGCTCTTTTCTCCCAGTAAGAGCTGGCTAGACCAGTGATTATTCTTAACAGGTGTGAAATCACAGTCAGATCAGAGCTGTCTGGCAGAGCTGCAGGAAAATTTGATTAAAAAAAAAAAAAAAAAAAAAAGTTGGTCTACGCATATTAGCCAGGCTAGGGGAAGGACTTCAGGAACTAAGGGTGAGGATATATTTCAGCTTTTCTGGACTATCTTTGCTATCAGATTTTTGTGTATCTATATACAAAACCTTTTACTGTTAACTTAGAGCCAGAATTTATACACTGAGCTGCGGTGTGCCATGATCTGCTAATCTTCCACCAATAGCACAATCTAAAGGGGCAACCACAGGT